CAACCAACCAACCAACCAACCAACTGTGCCTAAGGAGCTGAACTTGTTTCTCTAACCGAGAAATTTCTTTCTTCTCGTCCTCTACGGCCAGCCTAATAACAAGCATTAATAAAAATACTTTTTACTACCGGAAATTCAAAAAAAGACTGTGGCGTTATTTCAAGTGAACCTGCAACAGTTGAAAAGATTCGCAACGGTTCCCTTAAAAGCTTTGTCTGACAAAGACTGAATTAAATACCAATGTTTATAATTTTGAAAAATGATTATTTTTAATTGTGATTTCTCTACTGTAAATCTCGCATTTCTAATGCAGCAGACAACATATAGAAAATTTCTAAATTAAACACTTTTAAACCATTTTCACATTATTGAAAAGAGTAAGGTTTCATGGGTACGGTTGTGAATAGGTCATTGCCATGTTCGAGTGGAGGGTCACTTAAAATTCCCCGTACAGTCTCTTTAAACAATATACCCCTGTTTACCTCAGCTGTTCTTTTCTTTGTTCTCCCAGAGTTTTAACAATTGTTTCATTAGGATTATCCTTCCCTTCCTGTTTCTCTCCTCTACACAATCATTTCATCCTCTTCTTAAGTTCGTTTATTCCTAGTATTTCTTCCGTTTTCTCTTCTTCAGAGTCAGAAATTAATGAATTTGAGCCGTGTCTTAATTCCGTCAAAAACCAATTTTAATTGAGCGCTGCTTAAATCTTGAAACATTGAATACAATTCCAAGTGGATCCAACGTTAATCAGAACGTTAATTTTATATTTTTTATTACTTCATTCACGTATTTCTTTTTTCTTATCTAAAATTACGCGATGGTGATGGACCAAACCTCTGTAGAGTAAAAAAAGTAGATGTTAGTTCCACAATTATTGAAAATATATTTCGGTCTGCGTTGACCGTCCTCAGTTCTTAAGATTGTTTCTATCAGGAAGATTAAAAACTTTGTTAGTTTTTTGTGTGTTATTTTGGTTTTATTCACCTTACTTTTTTTGCTTTTTAATATTATTTGTCATTTCATTATCTCTGAATACTTTAAAAATAAATTCATACTTTAGAGTTTGTTTATCCTAATTTTTGTTGTTGGTAGTTTCTCAAATTACTGATAAGATTTTTTGTAATTTAGTCTTATTGGGCCCCCAATAAACAGGGGTGATAAAAACTTTAAATTTTAACACTATTAACCAAAACATTCATAAAGAGAGTTAAACAAAAAAATGTAAAAACATTTTTCCCCTGTTTTGTTTTTTCCCTTGAACGGTAGATCAAAATAAAATCGAGTTAATTTAACAACAACAAAAAACCTAAAAAAAATAAGCTGTTCACATTCACCTGTGTACTGTAATCAATATCATTCAATAAATAAAAAGGTAAGTAAAGCTCCCAAAAACATTTAGTTAATTATTCATATTATTAGTGTCGTAGTTTTGGATAAAATGATTTCCTTTTTCTTCGCGGTAGATCAGCTTTCTCCATAATAAGGTTGTATTGAAGAGCACAGTTCTTCTGGGAATACCAATCCGGAGGACGACCTCAACAATTCAATCAATCAACCAACCAACCAACCAACCGCCCAAATAATTAATCAATCAATCAATTTATCAACCAATAAATCTATAAATCATTCAATCACACTCAATCAATAAATCAATCACTCAATAAATACGTTTAGGGACGCCCTATGACCACATCGCCATCCCACCATGACTATACTAAGCTGGGATTGAAATTAGGATTTATAATTCACAGATTCACAGTATCAATTCACGGTTAGTCAGGGGAATTATGGATATCTTAATGACAACTCACCCCCCCCCCTGTTAGAAAATCATTGTTTCTCTACGAGAATTTTCTTTGCTAAATCGGGGAATATACATGATTTTTAGGGGGGAAAAAATATACATGATTTTTAGGGGGGAAAATATAATTTTGGGGAGCCTAGGAATTCAGCGCCTAACCTCTATATCAAATATCCAGTGGAAAACTTTAATGATGTTTTAAATCCTTAAAGTCCTTAAAGCATGACTGATGATGACATAAGATTAAGCCATCAACGGGACAATATTCAGGTAAGTCAGGGAAGCTAATTAACTAGCCATGAGGTCTTTTAGAAACCAATGGGCATCACTTAATAGTTTTTATTGCTAAGCGCAGTGGCGTCTACAAAATCTATATATTGACCAAAAAAGCGTTAGCATTGCAAAACAAATGGTTCATCTAAAAACTACGAAAGCTTCGAGTGTAACCAACATTAAAATGCGTCATAAAAAAAATTACTTCTTTCATAAAAAATGGCTTTTTAAAAAAGTGGCTTTTTCTAAAAAAATGACTTCTTTTAATAAAAATCTACCTGGTTCCCAAAACTGTTTCATTGTTCGAGAAACTGAAACCCAGTTCTGATCTCCAGTTCTAAAATTAAACCGATTAGGAATTTAACAAGACGCCTTTAAAATGACCAATATCAATACCTCAAATATCTTTCTATATAATTCTCTCTGTTTGTTTACATGAGTACAGTTGATGCTAGAGTCAGCTGTTTGTTTACCTGAGAACAGCTGATGCTAGAGTCATCTGTTTGTATACTTGAACACAGCTGATGCAAGAGTCAGCTGTTTGTTCACCCGAATACAGCTGATGCTAGAGTCAGCTGTTTATTCACCCAAATACAGCTGATGCTAGAGTCAGCTGTTTATTTACCTCAGTACAGCTGATGCTAAAGTCAGCTGTTTGTATACCTGAGCACAACTGATGCAAGAGTCAGCTGTTTGTTCACCTGAGTACAGCTGATGCTAAAGTCAGCTGTTTGTATACCTGAGCACAACTGATGTAAGAGTCAGCTGTTTGTTACCTGAGTACAGCTGATACTAGTGTTAGCTGTTTGTTTACCTGAGCACAGCTGATGCCAGTGTCAGCTGTTTGTTTACCTGTGCACAGCTGATGCAAGAGTCAGCTATTTGTATACCTGAGTACATCTTATGCTAGTATTAGTTGTTTGTTTACCTGAGTACAGCTGATGATAGAGTCAACTGTTTGTTTATCTGAGAACAGCTGATACAAAAGTCAGCTGTTTGTTCACCTGAGTACAGCTGATACTAAGTCAGCTGTTTGTTTACCTGAGTACAGCTGATGCTAGAGTCAGCTGTTCCTTCAAAGACCAGAAATCTATCGGAGTCTGTTTCAGTTTTAATCTTTGCTGTACCCCCGACATGGTAGATTTATTTATCTGTCTATCTATCCAATCATTTTTTTAAATATCTGAAAAAAATTTCTTCAGACTGTAATTGGAAAATCACAGATAAGGCTTCCCTTGCCAGCTCTTTAAAAGGAAAGGATTAGGGATCCAAAAAGAAGATGGAGTGATCTCACGTCTACGGAGTGATCCTCTTAGGATCCCTAGGGAACATACTTGTTTTCCTGATATTATCCAGACCAAGATACAACATAGTTACTCTCTCCATACCTAAACAAGAGAACAATATTTAATACAAATACAAAGAATGCATGATGAATGAAAGAATGATAAATGATGAACAATAACTGAAAAAATGAAACAACAAAATCATGCGAGTATACGGGCTTGATCAGTTCAGCCATTTTTACGTTTATTGGATACAAACGACAAACAGATAAACAAAGTATATATATAGATAAAAGAATGAAAGGATGAATAAATGAATGAATGAATAAAAGGATGAAAGGATGTTAAAAACCAATAAACCTATGGATCAATGGATCAAAGGATCACGGGATAAATGGATCAATGAATGAATGAATTGAATAAAGAAATAAATGAATAAATGAATAAATGAAAGGATGAATAAATGAATAAATGAATAAATAAATAACTAACCTATTCCACCACCAGCGTGAGGAGGACAACCGTATCGGAAGGAATCAATGTAAGAAGAAATAGTGTGCAATTCTGAAATTAATTTAGAATGAAAATGTAAAAAAGTTTAAATTTAATAATGTTAAAAAACAAACAAAGATTATCTTTCTTTATATTGTTACCCTCGAAAGCTTTGTCTGATTAAGTATGAACTAGAAATAATGTTTTTATTTTCTTATAACTGTTAATTTTCATTTGTGGGTTCTTTGCAAAAGTGACTTGCGCATTATCTGCTAATAAGAAACAGTGGAGAAATTATTAATACACTTTTTGATTCTTAAAAACGACAATATTTCAACATTTTTAATCAGATTAAGGTTTCAAGGGTACCATTGAAAATCTTTGGATGGAGGGTTTCTTTTCACAACTATTTTACAGGTTAAAATCGATATTTACGAAAATAAGTAAATTGTTACCTATTCCATGGTGCTTGGCGCGCTCAGTCAAGTACTGCGCGTTATGAATCCTTTGCGCCCCTGATAAGATTTCTTCACCCCGCATAAACATGTCGTAAGAGTTTGAATACTAAAATAAACAAAAACGTTAAAACAACTTGTTTTCTTTAATTAAATAGAACGCCACCCCACTCATAGAACCTTATCTAGGTTCTACTCACGGCTGCTGTCTCATCTCCTCCAACCCTCCAGGATGGCACCACTATATGTCTTTAAATTGTGATCTTTGTATTGTCCATGTCTCTTGTCCTTTCTTGTGTCATATCTATAGTGGTGTTTATATTCCAGATAAATGCCAAGAAGATCCTAAAGGCCTTCCTGTGTTATTATTGAATTGATTCCTGGATTCCGGATTGTGGATCCATCTCTCTCTCTCTATCTCCTGGATACCGATCCTGAGCGTTCTCGTTCTCCTGCAGTCCAAGACAGACCAGGCGGTTCATCTACTCCTTTCCTCCTTCTCTGTTCCTTCCCTAGACGTAGCCAGGCGACCCTCGCCTGGACAGGACTAGGAGGACCACTCAGACCGGAGCAGATACACAGGTGTGTTACTTGCGGAAGGAATGGTGACTAGGAAGTGAGGGGGGGGGAGTTAAAAGTTGGATAGTGAGAGAGGAGAGGATGAATTCAGATTTAAAGTGACTGACATATTTGTGCTGAAGAGACATTAAAGAAAATTGTGAGAATTGACACTTGTCAATTTTTTCATGTCATTGATAAAATTAATACAAATAGAAGGGTTAAAAGTTGAAAAAAACGGGGTGAGAGATTAGGAACACTAATCAATTAATAAAAATAAATTGCCAAGATTAAGTAGATTATTGGACAACACGGTTTAGATTTTACAAAAACATTGTCAAGAATGTGCCAAGTTTTTGCCAATATTTAGCTTACCATGTTATTAGCTGGATCTGGCATAGTGTAGAAAGGACGAACAGCCAGAGGAAACTTATCAAGGATAAAGAAATCAGTGTCGTATTTAGCCCTGAATAAAAAGGAAACTTATCCAGGATAAAGAAATCAGTGTCAGAGTAAATATTTAAAAACCTCCAAAAATCGAAGTTGTGGGAATATTCCCCCCCTTCTTAAAAAAGGAAAAGAAAATGAAAAGAAAGTTAAATATTTCTTGTTTATATTTCAAATATAACCACATTTTGTTAGTATATTAGGTCGACGATGAACTAACATTATTCCACAATTCAGCCGAAAAACCTTAAAACATTCAAACATTTCATAAATATACCAGAGGAAAAAAGATTTTTAAGAAGAGTTGGCGAAAAGAAAATCGAGCACTAGCATATGACAGGTAAAGCATATTAAAAACTCATAAGGTTTTTAAGTTTCATTAAACGGCAAAAGCGGGACAAATAGAATACCATTTTAAAGCAACGTTGGCAGTAAAAGGAAGTCCACAATTTATTTTAAAAAACGTAAATTGGAAAATTATTTTTTCGGATCCTTTGATTATTTTCAATTGTAATTTCTCTGTAAAAGTGACTTAGAACTTGTCCGAATTAAACACTTTTCCAACTAGAAAAAAGATGATATCTTCTTCATTGCTATATAATGGTTTTAAATGTATGAATTGAACAAGCCAGTCTATAGTTTATAAATAAATATATTGAGAATTGAGATATACACTTGAAGGACACTGAATTTGTTAACATACTGAAACTGCAGTTTAAAACTATTAAACAGTCCATTCTCGCACTTATTTTATTATTAATCTTATTTGTTAAAAAAATTTACTTGACAAGACGGCCGAGTAGTTTCTCTGCAGGGGTTGAGAGGTCGTCTTCATCTCCCATTTCTACTCCAGCTTCCCTAGATAGTAATCATACATCAATATAAAGTAATTATCTCTGTTCGTCTGTTTGTTTCTTTGAATGTCATGACTCAGGAAACCTTAAATTTTGATTTGGAAACTCGGTAGAACCACGGTAATGTTCTTAGCTTGGTTTAAAAATTCTAAATTAAGTGGATCTTTTATTATAGAGATCACTTTGCTTCCAGGCAAAGCTGGGTTCTCACGCTGGTAACAGCAGTGATATTCCCAACAAAGCGGAATTTCTTGAGCAATGAGAGAGGACTTGAACTTGCAGCATTCAGTTGTCCACTTCATTTTTCAGATATAATTCTTGGAACAAAACACCCCTGACATTTCCAAATTGTGGTCTGATTTTTTTGCTTTAAAAAATTACCCGAGGGAGATCTAATCGTTAGAAATATTTCGTTCAGAATTAGACAATTTCCGTTAAATATTTAGTTGAAATCTTAACGAAATTTAATAACAAATGTTCTTTTTTCAAGGAAGGTTCAAATGGTTTCTCATTAGGTTACATAAGGTGGTCCAAAAGTGAAGCATGGCTCAAATTTGGTCGTGTGGCAAGGAACTTCGCACTTTACAAGAAAATGTTGATTGGATGTTTTAAAAATAGGAAGAAGTCCAGACTGAAAAAACCAGGACACGGAAAAGACTTGAACCTCCAATCCATTACTGGAGTCCATTGTCAATCCCGCCCTTTGTGATTTGATTTGATTTGACAATGCCCGATTCACATCAGTATCCTTAAAACCTTTATTTGATTTATAATGTAGTAGATATTGTCATTTTTCAGGGTTTATAAGTGTTAATTTCTAATAATTCCCATATATTTTCTTGTCGCAGAAATGCGCAATTAATTTTTGTTAAGAGCTCACAGTTAATAATAATCAATTTTCAAAATTATTAACTTTAATATGTACTTCTTACTTAATCAGACGTAGCTTTTAAGGGTACCACTGTAAATTAGGCATTGCCATCTTTGCTTGGAGGGTCACTTGAAATTATGCTTACAATCTCTTTAAAATGTGTATCTTAAAAACACTTCCAATGTTTTAGATGATCCTTCGACACTTGGATTCGAATCCTTGGATTTAAGGATCAGTATCTATGGAGCTAAAATGTTGCGGATCCGGATCCAAGACGCTAAACAGTTATAGTCCCAAATACAGCCGATCCGGATCCATGGAGCTCAAATGTTGTGGATCTATTGGATCCGGATCCAACGAACATACAATCCCAAATTTACCTCAACATCTGAACAGCTTCTGGGAATTCCAGTCGAAGAGGTGGATCAAGGAACTTGAAGGGTTCATGAGGGTATTGGACACACACTGAACATGTATTAAAGCTGAATACAATAAATGAATTTTTGTGTAAATACTAAAAATAAATGTCTCTGATATCAATCTGATTAATATTTGTATCATCTTGTGGTGTAAACATATTTATCTGGTATAAATGTGTCTGGTGTAAATCTGGTATGAATGTGTTTGATGTAAATCTATATATCTAGTATGACATTGTCTGGTATTATGATATCTGGTATAAATGAGTCTGATGTATATCTGTAGAACTGGGGTAATGTGTCTGGTGTAAATCTATATATCTTGTATGTCTGTGTCTGGATTGCTGATATCTGGTATGAATCGAGTCTGGAGTGAATCTATTTATCTATTAAAAATCAGAAAATAAGTGTTTAAAACATGATTTGAAGTTTAAAATCTGAAGATCTGGTGTAAATCTATACATCTGGTATTAATGTGTCTGGTGTAAATCTGTAGATCTGGTATAAATGTGTCTGTTACCGGTTTGAATCTCATTCTGGTATCTGTCCCGCAGTCCCTTGAACATCTCCGTAAACATATCTCCTGCTCTCAATCAATCAATCAATCAACAATAAATCATTATATCTATCAATGAAGTATCAACCGACCAACCAACCATAAAAATAATCAATGAATTAAGTATTTACCACTTATACCATTTCAAATACTAGATGCATCGGTAATTATATTAGACAAACCATCCGTGAATCAAATTTATCACATAATCAATCAAATAAACAACAAATTTTTTGATTAATTGATTTAGTTCCTATAACGTCAAGAACCTCGTGGTAATGAAACTTGAACGCCATTTCTAAATCAAGTCCTGTAAATTAATAGAAGTTAGTCCACAGAAATGAGATTTTACAATTTTTAATGTTTCTTTTTTTACAAAAACACTTCCGTTTATAAATTCATTTTGTTCATTGTTTTATAAGAATCCACAAAATAGTGTCTAGTTGTAAAGTCTGGGATGTGGGTAGGGCTGGGCACGTTCCAACTTTTTTGAAATCGTTCTAGATGTGTTGAATAAACTACATCTAAACTTAAACTATGTTTTTCTCTTTTTTGACTTTCTGAAACAATAAACTTTTTCCAATTCATAACGTTAACCTCAAAAGTTTTAGAAAAAAAGTCCTAAATTTTAGGGGAAAAAAGTCCAAGGAATCTAAAACTCAAGACTTCATTTCCAGTGACATTTTCACTTCAGAAAATAAGGACTTTTTTACTAAAGTTTTTATTTCCAAGGTTTTTTCTTTCAGAAACTTTTCCTTCAAAGGACTATCTTACATGAATTAGATAGCCATGTTAAGAATTTTAAAAACTGTAAAATTTTATTTTTTAATTGCGCGTTTCTACAGTAGGAAAACAATGTAGAAATGACCAGAATTTAACACTTTTAAAGCTATATGATAAACGATCTTATTAACCAGATAAAAAAAATTCAAGGCTACCGGGGATGCCCGATTTTTAAAATTGAAGAATCCATTGAAATTCCGACAGTTTCCTCTAATAGTTACCAACGAATTCAGTTAGATGTCTATGGGTGTTAGAATCCTCTGCTCTGAATACACCTCCGACAGTGTAGACTCTGCACAACAAGGGATTAACCATCAAGTTGAGGTCAAATCAAGATCAACTCAAGGTCAAATCAAGGTCAAATCAAGATAAACTCAAGGTCAAATCAAGGTCAAATCAAGGTCAAATCAAGGTGAAATTAAATATAAGCAAATGTCGAAAAATTAAAAACAAAGAAAAAAATGGAAAAAAATTCGACCAAAAAAGAACAAAAAAATGTCTCTCTATTTTTTTTGATCTCAATGCGATATTCGTAAATATTAAATATCACATTTTCTGCATATTAATGTGATATGTGCAGGTGCATGAATATCATGAAATTTTCTTATATACTCCGTGAGGAGTCCTGAAAATAATCATATCATAAACTAAAATTAACAAGTAGCTTACAGAAAAATGGTTAGCAATCAATCATTGACTCAAATCAAATCAATCAATCAATCCTTCCTGTCAAAATCTGCTGCAATGGCCATCTGCTTGTAGAGCTGGGGAGACTGGGCCAGGTAGGCGGATCCTTTGAAGTAGGACACCTAGACAGAGGACATTCAATCAATAAATCAATCAACCATAATTCAATCAATCAATTGGTCAACCAACTAATTAATCGATCGATCCATCCATCCTTGAATAATTGTCAATTAATCATCAATAATCCTACCTTGAAAACATTGGCTCCACCCTCACTTGCTGCACTAATTATTTTCGGAGTATGGATCTCCACAAATCCTTTGCCAGCCAAGGACTCTCTGAAATAAACATGAAAAATTGTCAACAAATGTTAAATGCTGAAAATTTCATAAAAGGGACTGTCTGGGAATTATAAGGGACCATCCATTTAAAAAAGGGCATGCCCCGATTTGCAACGGTACTCTTTAAAATTGGCCAATGGGAAAGATATCGCAGTTTTACTAGTTGGGGAAAATGTTCAATTCCAAGAAAAGTTCCTCCATTCAAGAGAAAAACCAAAAAAAAAAAAAAAAATTTTTTAAGATAAAAAGGTCTGATTTCATATGGATTCTTGATTTCAAAAAAGTTTTCAGGGTAACGCTGTGAACATTTCACTCTATAAATAAAGTACAATTTCTAAGAATAAACATTAAACTCCTAACCCCATATCAAACAGTGAAAATCTAGTCTCTAAATATATTAGGTTTACTTGTCTTTTTGTTGGTTTGTTTATTTCCAAACCAAAGCTCAACAGATTATGCCCAATTTTCAAAAAAAAATTTAGCGTCAAAATATTTTCAAATTATAAAATAAAGACGTTTAAAAAATCTGCGAAATCTTTTTGGTATTACTTTAAAATGTACGAAATGCAACAACGGGCAGAGATTATTTTCAAAATTACTTAACTCAATCAATCAATCAGAGTTTAGGGATGTCCTACTCAAGGAGTATGAAATAGAAGGGAGATACAACTGACGCGGCCCGCCCTACCATATGATCATGCATGCTTTGCAGACGGTACTTCATTTGAATAAGAAATATTCAGAATAGGTCATTGTATACGCGGTAATTGTACATTGTACATCAAACAAATATTTCTTATGCAAATGGAGTACCGTCTGCAAAGCATGTATAATCATATAATCTGTTATATCTCCCTTCTATTCCATACTCCTTGGTCCTACTGCCCATATATCAAACTCAAAATGAAATTATTATATCAAGAATGAGCTATGGTTTTACAGCCTGTATTTAAGGATTAAAAATAAAACGTGATTTTTTTAAATGAAAGAATATTCTTTGGATATTTGACCTAAAAAGATGGCAAACTCCTGCTTCAAGTCTAAATATTGCCTGATTGGCCGGGGTTCTTAAATCCAGAACACGGTTATCAAGTCTAGTATCCTAAATATATATTAAAATGTTAAAAATAACAAAAATTAATAATATAGCTAAATCAACTTAATTTCTTCATTATTCCAACCGCAAATTATACTTTAATCTTTTTTTTAAAAACCTATTTATTTTTCAAACAAGTTAACTAATTTGATTATTATTACATAAAAAAGATATCCCCGAAAACGCTTAATTTCTCTAAAAGCTCTTTATAACCCCACCTTGGAAAATACTGATCTTTTTCTGTGAAGATGATTATCAATCACAAATAAGATATCAATAGCCAAATTTTTATTTTAATTCCTAAATCCCTAAATCTAACTGACCGGGTTGACCCGAGCAAAGGTTCCTTCGTCTTCGTCCGATATTCTCCGGGCAGCGTCCTCTATCTGTAGTGGTAGCTGGGGGTCAGAGGCAGATACAACCCAGACCTTTACAATCAATCAATCAATCAATCAATCAATCAAATAATCAACCATCAATCAATCAATCAACCAACCAATTTTTTGATATCTGCGTCTTTATTTTGGTGGTAGATACAACCCAAAACGTAACCCAAACCTTAACGATCAATCAATTAATCTAGCCTTTACAATCAATCAATCAAACTTTGAAAATCAATTTTAAAACAATTAAACGAACTTTCAAAATTAACCATCAACTGGTCATAAAAAAAAGTTCACCAATTAAACTTAGACAGTCAATCAATTAATCAATCGTTAACAATCTGTTAATCATACTTTATAAATTACCTTCTATTTTCTACTTTATACATAATTACCTGATGCACATGAAGTTCTATATTCTGTTGTGTACATAATTACCTGGTGTACATGTAGTTCTATTTTCTACTGTGTACATAATTACCTGGTGCACATGAAGCTCTATATTCTGCTGTGTACATAATTAAATGTAGTTCTATATTATACTGTGTTCATAATTACCTGGTGTACATGTAGTGCTATATTCGGCTGTGTACATAATTACCTGGTGTACATGTAGTTCTATATTCTACTGTGTTCATAATTACCTGGTGTACATGCAGTTCTATATTCTGTTGTGTACAGCTCTCTATCTTCTCTGCTGCCTTGACCACCTCCGCCTGGACGTCCACGATGCTCTCCTTGCTGATATGGGAGATGAACTTGACCATCTGTTTACTGATCCTCTCGTTGACGAACCCGAGGCACTGGACAGTGTCCTGCTGTTCACGAATTACGAAGAAACACTGCTTTCCTAGATTAGAGAAAGATTAAGATATTGTAAGCCTCTAATCAATCCACCACATCCTCTGAAAATCCTCTTAATCGTCTTAGATAAATCCTCTACTCCTGCTTATAATTGTTAAAAATCCCCCTATTATTCCCTTAACCAGCTAAAAATCCCTGATCCTGCTGAAAAATCCCTCTACTACTTCTAAAAATATCCTTCTCTTTCTGAAAATTCCCAACTCTCATCCTTAAAAATTCCCTACTTCAGCTAAAAATCCCCTACTTCAGCTAAAAATTCCCTACTTCAGCTAAAAATTCCCTACTTCAGCTAAAAATCCCTTAACACCGCTAAAAAATTTCCCTATTACTTAAAAAAAAATTTTAAAATTGACATCCGTGACCCCAAGTCAAGTTTACCTTTAGCCCTGGAGGTGTGAAGTCTTCCTCTGATATAAACAACATTTCCAGCCATCTTAGGTTTCAAGTCCTTGACAGCGGTGATGGTGACAGAACCCTTGTTCTTACTTTGGTTCATCTCCTGGACACCGTAGTTCCCTTCAGATACATCAGGTCCTTCATTCTCATCCTGCTGGGCTCCATCCTTACCCTCATCTACCTAGAACGAGTAAACATGACTATTTAAGGTCCTAAAACCTCGCCCTGCCAAACGCCATTTTTGCCTTTATTATCTTTATCTTAACTATCTTAACAATTTAGTTCAATTTCATCAAATCAAGTATAAATCTAAAAAGGAAACCAAAATAGGACCTACTGAATGTCTTTCATTTATCTATTTTTTTTATCCTTCTCTAACCTTATGGGTGGCCTTCTTTGCAGCTTTCTCTGCCTTCTTAGCTTCCCTCTTCTTCTGTGTATCTGACTTCTCCCCATCCTCCTTCTCCTTCACCGGGGCCTTATTCTCCTTCCCCTTCTCCTTCTTGACCTCAGGAGCTGAAGATGTAGATGGTTTCCAGTCTGAACCTATATAGAACTATTATAAAATATTAAATACTAGACTGGAGACCCAGCTTTGCCTTGCAACTAAGCTTTACCTTTAAAACCTTTTCAACTTTGAATCTATGATCCATTTCCATAGTTCTACCGAGTTCCTCAATAAAATTTGAGGCAAATTGTTCAAGAGCAGATAACTATTTTATATATTGTAGATAATTAAAATCACGAGAGCAGTCAACCATCATTTCATGGAAATCCGAGCACTAAGGGTTACTCACAAAGGATGAGACTGTAAAGACGACCTTTTTAAAATGACGATCTCAAGGTTGAAATTAATCGTCCGCAGTATTTTGATGGCTTATTTCTTGATTAGGCAAAGAAAGAAACAAGCCATCAAAATACAGTTCAAATTCCGTACAGTCGTCTCTGAAGTATCGCCTTTAGTAGGTAACCCTGTAAACTATGGACTAATTCCCAACAATAGTTGTTTTTAAAACCACGCAACCAAAAAAAGACCCCCCCCCCCCCACGAAAAGAAACCGGAGAGCTGAATAAAACTAAATTTTCCAACCCTAAACATATCTAAATAATTTATAAATATACCGAAAATGCTTTCATTTGTTTTTATTCAAACTATCTTCAAATAAAAATTGCATGAAGGAAAGAATTGAAGAATGAAAAGATAAATAACAGTAAATAAATCAAATAAATAACCCAGACCAGGGGTGTATATTTTTCATAACAAACACCCCCCTTTTTTATTTTTTTATGACTTCTGAGCCCGCGATTTAAAAACTTCGGCTCGAGCCCTAATTCCTTAAACCCGACTTTAAGACCCAATCTTAGACTCAACTCTGACGACAGCTTGTGCCACGTGTTTGACAGCTGCAAGATCTTTGGCTCGACTTAAGGAGTTAGGCCCAAAAAAATAAAACCGACCTTGGTTGGTTTTAGTGGAGAATAAGGCTCAATGTTGCGTCTTGTTCTAATAAAAACTGGGAATGCGCTTATTCCTATCATAAAAATCTGCCAAATAGAATATTAAACCGGTTTTTTGAATTCAACTCGGTGGAAAATAAGATGCAACTTGAATCCGAAAGCTCGAGCCGTAAATAAGGTCCAACGACAGCTTAGATCCGAGCCGTATTTCCCCGAGTTTTTTAAATCGCGGGCTCTGGAGAAAATAAGTGTTTTTCTAAAAAGGGGTTAGGGAATTATTTCATAGGAAAACATACAACCCTGAAATTACCTGTCTCAGCTTTAAAAGCTGCTTTAAGTTCAAGAAGAGCGTTGACTGCTGCTTCTACATCAGGTTTAGCAGCTTTGGCAGCTTTCAGCTCTCTCACTTTCTCTCCTTGAGCCCTAGACATGATAGGAATATTATTACTTTTGTTACTACAGTGGTTGCGATTATATCAATATCATGCTGACGCCTTTCAATTTAAATTTTGATTTTTATCAAGCTATTTAACAGCATGGATACATATAAACATAAAAGTCAAGGAAAGCTGTCAATGAAAAAAGCTTCTCTTAGATTACTTGCAAACTTGTAATTCAACAACCCTTGTAAAAAATCAAAACTTAATTTAAAAAGTCGTCTTCATTGTATTGATACAATCGCATTATTATTTAAAAAGACAACCCGTCATTAATTAAAATTGGGGCCGACGCTTCTAGTTTCTCTCATGATTATCCTCTCCCCTTCATAATGTTGGAAGTTTTCACCTTTTCATAAGGAGCATAAGGAAGGGTAATCTGGAAAGAGCCTCGATAATATTCCTAGTTTGTTATTGCTGTAAATCAACAATATGAAAATAAAGATAAAAAGGGAAATATAAATTAGATAAAACAGGTTGCAAATTGAAAACCGATTTTCCTAAATAGCTTCATCACAAAAAATGGAACTTGATGGAATTTTCACTAAAGGGTTTATCAAATAAGTATATTGCGTAAAGGCAAATAAAACTATAGTACAAAAAAGGAGATATATTTTTAATAAAAAGTGCTTACTTAATCTTCACATCAATTTCCGCAGCTTTACCGGTCAGACTAGGAGCCGCTGGGGCAGCTGCTACTGATGCTTTTGCTGGAGCAGCAGTTTTAGCAGGAGCAGAAGCTTTGACGGGAGCAGCTTCAGGTTTCCAATCCTTGCCAGTAGCTGCCTTGAACTCGGCCTTTAAAGCCAACAGGGTTTTTACAGCTCCATCAATCTGAGTTGAAAATAAAAATTGAAAATCCCCGAAAGAGACAAAAAATACCTTTATCATAATTTAGAACGACACCATTTGTAGAGTGGCATGTCCGATTTATAATCAACAGTATCCGTAAAAGTTTTATCTGATTTAATATATGCCATCATTTTCTCTTTGAAAATTGATTATTATCAATTTAGGTTTCTATATAAAATGACTTTAGGATTTCTGCTTCGAACTCATTCAGGTAAATAGTCAGAATTAAATTAATTATTAGTAAAACGATTTTAAAGGCCGGGTACCGCTGTGAATTGGGCTTGCCCCATTTTTTTTAAAAAAGATCTCTTGAAGTTACAGTAGTACATTTACAGATCCAGATCATTAACAAGGAAAAAAGTTAGAACTGGTGTTTTATTTCTAAACAACCGTTCAAGAAGAAGACATGATTATATATTTTAAAGAATATGATAAGTTTTTATGCTCTGGGGAAAAAACTTGAAGACTTGGCATGTATGTATATGCAAGTTTTTAACCCTTTTAATACTTTTTACCCAAAAATGTATTTATTTTCCCCAATTTAGCAAATACTGTGAGGGGGGAAACTATCAAAGGGGGGAATAATTCTGCAAGAAATGATACACCCCAGGAAGTGGAATATTTTCAATTTTTTATAATTTCCTGATCTTTGGCAGCTTTCTCGGCTTTCAGCTTTCTTACGCTCTCCCCTTGAGCTTGGATTTTACTACTCAGCTCTGATTCCTGGAATCAAATTAAACATTAAAATTGTACAATTATATTTGCCCTAACGACCTAATTTTTTTTATGTAGGATCCAGAGGCCGAATTTAAAAATATGAGCCGCTTCTCAAACTTAAGGCGCGGCTTAAACATGGTTAGTTTCACTTTAAATTGTATTCAGTGTTTTAAGATTTGAGCCTGAGCTTAATTGGAACCTGTTTTTGGCGGTTCAGAAACGCGGTTTAAATTCTCCGTCGAAAAAAAAAATTAAATAGATTTTTAAAAATCCACCAATTAAAATAGAAAAATATTCGAAAAAATAAAAAGTTATTCTTTAAATTGCACAATATAACAACATACAATATAAAACAAAAACAAAAAAATTTGCGGATTTAATAATATTTTTTTCGCCCATTTTTAAAATTTAACAAAAATCAAAAACTTTTGGACACAAATTTGTTTAAATTTGTATTTCCGCCAGCTGCAGCAGGGGCAGGAGCAGTTGAATCTGGTTTCCAGTCCTGGCCAGTCTCACTCTACAATCAATCAATATCAATCAATCATATTATTCAAAACGTTCACATTAAATTTAATATAAAAAAATGTATCAAATTTTGATAAAAATATCAACAAAACTTAAGACTAATTAAAATCTACCATTGGGACTGTAAGCTTTATTTCAGTTACCGTGTATGCAAAGATGACAAAACACAATTTACAACGGTACCCTGGAAACCTTAATCTGATCCATACAAAAAAGGGTACTGTTGCAAATCGACAGGCATTGCCATATTTGCATGGAGGGACACTTGAAATTACGCTTACAGTCCCTTTAATATTGTCAAGAACACAAACTATCTACCTTGTATTTAGCTTTCAATTCTAGAAGAATTTTGACTTCTGCAGTAATAGCATCCTTCGATGCTTTAGCTGTCTAAACACAGACAAAACAAAGTCAGAAGTAAAAATTAATTGCTTTGCATCCAAGCGCGCTACAGTTGGGGGTTAAATACCACTAGAAATTTTTAAAAGGTAAAGAACCCATNATGAATCCTGGATCTGTCATGTAAATATGGATCCAGGATCTATCATGTAAATATGGATCCAGGATCTGTCTTGTAAATACGGATCCTGGAAAGCTGTCATGTAAATATGGATCCTGGATCTGTCATGTAAATATGGATCCAGGATCTGTCATGTAAATATGAATCCTGGATCTGTCATATAAATATGGATCCTGGATCTGTCATGTAAATATGGATCCTGGATCTGTCATGTAAATATGGATCCTGGATAGCTGTCATGTAAATATGGATCATGAATCTGTCATGAATATACAAATCCTGGATCTGTTATGTAAATATGGATCCAGGAACTGTCATACATACTAAAGAACGCAAAGTTTCTGAACTAAATTTTTTTTTTATATTAAAGTCGAGGTCTTCAATAAATTGTTAGTAGAGGAGGGGGGGGAGGCGTTGTCTACGAGAGGAACTCAATTCTGAGAAAGGTTTTTTGTGACAATAGTGCGAATGGACAAAAACAAAATTCTGAAAAGGGTCGAATAAAAATTTCTCAGCATATTTTTACCTTCAAATCGCGGATTTTATCTCCCTGAACTATTATCTGAGAATTCAGATCCGACATTTTCAAATCTGAATGACGACGCCAACCGGCTTTATCGGAATTGAAGAATTTTTAACAAACAAATTACGATTATAAATGTAATAAAGCAAAACTACATTTAAATTGCTAGATAATCGATTTAAAAATAAAAAATAAAAAAATAAGCAACAATAATACTAAACTATTGCATCAGTTTCTTAAGTTTTTTCTCCACCGTGTTGCTGAATCGAAATACAAATTTAGAATGCGCAGAGTTGCCGCGTTCAAATTTTTTTTAATCGAATTGTCGTCTTTTGTGAGTCTATGACGCTATCAATGAATCATTTTAATAATTAGAAATTTCAGTAAGTATTTGTTTTTCATTTTTTCCACAACATGGGGTGAACAAAGATATTTTTACTTTATCATTCATATGCTCATGTTCATAATGAACCTTATTGTAGCCGCATATTCAAAGTTATCAAACGTGCTATTAATTAAAAATAATAGTCTTTAAATTTAATTCTTGACTTATAAATGGGCGCTAACGTTGTAAGGGATTTTAATGTTCTTTTTCTGAATGAAAAAGTTACCATGGATGCATTAGACCTTTTTCTTGTGTGACTTGCCAATAATGTACGACATACGTTGAAGATATTGTCATTTTTGTAGCAATTGCATACTTCATAAAAAAAAACGATGAAAAGTAATTATTTTCAAAGGAAAGGTTATGGAGATATCATGCATTTTTATCATACAGGTTTTAGGGAACCTTTGTGAATTGGATATGCCACTTTAAATTGTCACTTGAAATTTGTTTACAATCCTTTCAAAGCTATAATTTTTATATTCTAAATATAAATTGTGCAAAAATTAATGGCGAATATAATCTCACAATTTAATTCTACAAATTCCAAAATAATCTTAAAATAGTTAAATTGTGAAGTTTTGAACAATAAATATGTCCGCAGTTTACAACTTAATGGCCGCGTCGCGTACCATCTTCATGTTTTTCCTCGATCCTAAAATATGTACATATATCTATATAGATAAGAAAGATAGGACACAAATAACTCATAGTTGCACGTAGTCACCGTAGAACAAGCTCTCTCTCTGTCTAGTTGTTCTAAGCCGACTACGCGTAACTCCTATGTGCTTCACTCTCAGGGTTATTGTGAACGAAACAAACATAAATTCTGGAAAAGACGACATATAGTGTCCAATCTGTTATTTTAATTAATCTATGGTTACGGATATGATACTATAAGGAAATACATTTTTTCCCAAAACTTTTCAGAAGGACGTTTAAAGACCTAAATGTGACAAACAAAAACTTTTTAATCAAATTTCCTGGTTTAATTATTCTATTTAAAATTATTTCGAAAATTTTTTTCCCTTTGGTAAAACTGAAAATGCAGAACTTTTTCATATCTTTATAACTCAGAAAAACACTAGTTTCACCTGAGTTTATTTCTAAGACATGTTAATTAGTTGAGTTGAACTTTGAATCTTTATTCTTTTCCTCATTTTGACCTTTTCTTAACAGATCTTTACAAGTTTTGGTTTAACTTTTCAATAGAAATGAACCGGGAAAAATTTGAAAAACTGGTTTCCTGTTTTTCAAGAAAAACAAGACGTAAAAAATTTGTACAAAATTACTTTAATAGTTCAGTGTATGTAGGATGTTGTTAAATTTTCTAGTCTTCATTCGCATTTAAAATAAATAATAAGTAAAATAACCTCTTATTTTTATTTCTACAACTTTCAAAATTTGAAGGAAATTCATAAATTTTAATAAATGTCGTAACAAGTTGACTTTTCCCTGACAAAAGAACAAGGCTTTAGATTTTTGTGTATTTATATAAAGAGTTTTTAAATTCGATCAGAGAAAATCTTTGTGTTAGGCGGTTATATCAATATAATGAAGACATGAAGACGACTTTCAATTTAAATTTTGATTTATAAAAACAACATTAATACATAACACAAGGAAACAAAGAGAAGCTGTCGATTAAAAAAACTTCTTCTGATTACTTGTAAACTTGTAATTCAAAAAAAAACCTTGTAAACAATCAAAACTTAAATAAAAAGTTTAGATACTGACAATGGAACTGTTTTGCATCCTTTTATTGACTGTTCTAACTGGTGAGCTATCCCTTTTTATTTTAACATAATGATAATAACGCAAAAATAACGTATTTCTTATTTGAAGTAATTTTCTATTTAAAAAGAAATTAGCAGATTCCATCTGCAATATTACAAAGAACAAACCTGATTAGTATACATGTGATTAATATATCGGATCACATAATATTCTGTTTAAACTTGCAATACATTGTATACATTATTAATTATCTATGTCTGTAAATTTCTACGTAAAAAACCATTTTTCTTTGATCTGCGTTTTAAATGAATAAGTAGCATGGTTAGCTTAAACCCTTTTTAATACGTAATTTCAAATTGTAAACATGTATGGAGATAGCTTAACTATAACGTTGTATCTATCCTCGCTAATCCTACAAATATACACATCTTAAATGCGCCTATTTCAACTGTGCTATAATACGTAACATGATTGTCTGAATCATGTCTTAATCACTTATAACTAGGGATGGTAATGTTTTCATTTTTTTTTAAAACAATTGTTTCGTTATGAAAACGACGACGAAAAATCAAAAACAAAACCATCGTTTTGTTTAAAAGTTCGTTTTTTTAAAAATGGTCGATTTTTAAACGATCTTCGTTTCGTTAACCGACCAGAGGGCATCTGTACTTATCATTGAGCAATTTTTATGAAAATATCAAGAAGTTTTAGCTCCCACAACTATTTAACTTCATGTAAGACGACATTCAATAAAGTTGCATGTATAAATTATTTTTCTTCAAAAACAATCATTTTTGCCAAAATGACCGTTTTCANACTATTTAACTTCATGTAAGACGACACTCAATAAAGTTGCATGTATAAATTATTTTTCTTCAAAAACAATCATTTTTGCCAAAATGACCGTTTTCATAAAGTTCGTCGTTTCCAATTATAACGATCGTTAACGACAACTCTTTGTTAAAGATCGTTAACGACGACCCTTTGTTAACAATTTCCTTAATTCATAATTGTCCATAACATTTTTATTTTCAAAAGCAACGCTTTAAAAAAAAACTATTGTATAAAAACGGTCGCAAATCGTTTTTATAAAAACGATCGTTTCGAAAACGATCGTTATTCGTTTTCTAAAAGTTCAAAACGAGTGGGTAGTTTTTAAAAACGATAATTTTTTCCGAAAACGTAACAATCATTTTTGAAAATGATTGAAAACGAAACAAAAGACGATCGTTAACGATCGTTTTCAAAAAAGATTAACAACCCTACGTAATTAAGAATTAAAAACCCAAATCAAGAACATTCTCATGAGTTCCTCAGTCAAAATTTGAGGCAAATCGGTTAAGGTAGGGTTTCTGAGTTATGCTCGGACATACAAACAAACAAACAGAAATTACTATTTTATAAAAGACTAGCTTGGGAATCCAGTTTTGCCAGCAGAGCCTTTAGAAGCGCACTTTTTAACACAATACAACGCTGTTTAGCAGACTTATTTGATCATAAAGCGTACTTTTTTCAAAGACACCCTTTATATATTCTGTAAAAGTTTTCTTTGATCATATATAGTATTTTTATCCGAAGAGAAAATATGTGAAAAAGAAACCAAATAAACACTTTTTGGTTCGTTTTTGCATAATTCAAAAATATTTCTCTTATGTACATATTTTCCCGTCTATTTCCCTTCGACGATATTAGAATTCTAAGTAGAATACAAATTTTCTTCTCTCAAATCATTTAAGCAAAATGTCTTTGTTCAATAAAAATGACGATATGAAAATTGATACTTTTGATGACTAACATATAAGTCCTGGGAAAAGGGGGGGTACTTGCGTAAACTAATAAATTTTAACTCTTCAAAATACCCCCAATCCGGAATTTCGCATTCCTAAGGACTTAAGTCGACAGGTAGATTACCATTAAGGGGGATTTTGGTAGACTATTTTCTCAAGATTTAAAATAGTTTTTAAATTAGTATTTTAAAACGACAAAAAATAACAATAAATATTTTTTAAATAAAAAAAACCAAGTCTACGGATTTAGTAATGTTTATTCTTGTAATCAGTCTTTGTTTTCAGGGATAAAATTAATTTTTTATATTTTTGATAACAAATTTATCAAAAATTTATAAATTATAAATAAAGGGAAATTACTTGAACATAAAGAAAAAAAAGATTTTTTTGTTTTTTTGTTTTACCCCTGTCCAGTGTATCTGACACAGGTAGAAAACTAGTATCGCAATCGCATACCAATATTTAAACCTTCTAAACAAACAATCAAACAAAACACAGGAATTATTGTAATAGTGATATCAAACATGTCGTGAATCCAATGACGCAACATATTTTTTATAAAATAGATCAATTATGATGAGTAATGAACTAAGTGTGAATTAGTATGCAATGACAAATATTAGTGAATTTAGTATTGACGAAACTTTAAAGTGAAAAAAATGCCGTTTCCTAAGATAAAATTTAAAAAGTAAGTTTTGAAATGTATTTGCAAAACAACAATAATGGAAGTTTATTTTAGACTTATATCAATTCACAAGTTTTTGTTATCTTGCAAGGTTACCCGTAAAGTATGTGACGGTAAAGACGACCTACAACTATTTAATAATGACGTTTCTGGTTAAATTATGTAATCTGCCATGAATAAAGTCTTTTTAATGATTGTAAAAAGAAAGAAACAAATTTACAGTTACAGGGAAATCAAATTCCGTTGGAGTCTTCTCTGAATTCTCATCCTTTGTGGGTATTTACCTTGTATATATCTGTAAAAAATGCTCCAACTAGAATTTTCATATAGTAACATTTCGTATAGTACACTTTGTTTAGGTAACATTTCGTATATTGCACTTTGTCTAGGTAACATTTCGTATAGGTAACATTTTGCATAGGTAACATTTCGTATTGGGAACATTTCGTATAAATAAAATTTAACTATATATAAATTTGGCTTGTCTGTTTGTTTGTCTGTTGTTTGTTTGTATCCAATAAACGTCAAAACGGCTGAACCGATCGGGCTCAATTTTTTTTGTGGGACATCATGTTACCACAGGGAAGGTTTATGAATGATCTAAATTTCAAATATTTGTCTCCATCAAAATTCGATCTTCATTAAATTTTTGAAAATTTTGAAAATCCACGAAATTTTTCGTGAAAATCTGCGAATTATTTTTGTTTTGTTTTACGATGTACAGAAAGNCGAAATTTTTCGTGAAAATCCGCGAATTATTTTTGTTTTGTTTTACGATGTACAGAAAGAGAACATGTTCACAATTAATTTAGAAGATGGGCGCGAAGTGCCCTCTAAGGCTAGTATAGGTAAAATCTCGAAAGGTAATTTTACGTATAATAAAAGGAGATTATAGATTGCAAAGAAAGCTACGAACCATGATGAAGAAAATCCGCCAAATTACAACATTTGACTAGTATACTCTGCGTAACATTAAATTAATAACTGAACAGTTTAACATCCTGATCAAGAATTTCCTAAATCTGATGGATGATAATTCGGTTAAAAAAGAAAAAATACGTACAATAGCTTATTAAATAGCGTATATTTGATGATTTTTTGTTTTTACATTTCTACGAAAAAATACCCCAGGTGTTACCTATACGAAATGTAACCTTTAAAAGATGTTATCTATACAAAATGTTACCTAGACAAAATGTACTATACGAAAATGAACCTAAACGAAATGTTACTATACGAAAACTTACTATTAAAAATTTTACTGATCGTTTCAAAAAAACGGATTTTCACTCTACCGTTGTTATTTAGAGTTCTTCTTTGACGGTTTTTATTATGTTAAAGGGACTGTAGGCGTAATTTCAATTGAATCAATATGTAAAGCAATGCCAGATTCACGAAGGTACTCTTTAAAGCTTTGTCTGATCAATGTTTATAATTTTAAAAGGAGATTTTTAAAATTCTGTTTTTTTGCAAAAGTGACTTGAGCATGTGAAATATCAGAATTAAACATTTTTAAACCTAGAAAAACGACAATATCTTCGACATTTCTTATCAAATAAAGGTGTCAAGAGCATCATAATAAATCAGGCATTGTCATCTTTACATGGAGGGTCACTTGGAATTTCGCTTACAGGCCCTTTAAGTTCTTTAATAAGATCAATAAGAATATCAGAATCCCTCAATAATATTTCTGGAGCTTCCCCCCTCTCTTGTTACAAGAAAATTAACAAATTTTGAAACTCTAATCCCTTACCCCTCCCCCCAAAAAATGTTTCAAAGGAACCAAATTCAATATATGTTTAAATACTAACTGCAAATTAATTTACCTATCAACTCATATCAACTAATCAACTAACCATATAGTAGTTGATTAACTAATATTATATTGATAGTTGATGGGTTAATATGTTTATTATTTTTGGTTAGTTAATAAGTTGATATGCGATAATCAACTAACCATATCTACTAACTATATTACATAATCAACTAACCATATATACTAACTATATTACATAATCAACTAACCATATCTACTAACTATATT